ATAATAAGGACCCCCCCCCCCCCCACCAAGTAGTATTCGTAATTATTACGGCTTCTATAGCACCCAAACCCAAGACTCTGCAAGGCCAACACACCAGATCAGCAGTGTAGACCCCAAAAGCCTAAACTCTGCAAAGCCCTGCATCCCAACACCCTAGAACACAAACCCTGATCCCCTACTGGCAAACATTAAACCGCTGCGGGAACGAAGCTCATTCTGGTCGACGACACGATTCTACAGATTGAACCGCCCCATGAAGACAATGGATGAAGAGTAGGGTGAAGGGTCCAGGGTTTAAAGCTCAGGGGTGNNGGTGGTGATGGTGATGGCATGTGATGGCGATGATATGATGCCGCTGGCTTGGATTATGGAGAAAACCCTAAACCCTAAACCCTAAACTAAAACCCAAGGGTCCATGTAGCCAAACAAAATCCCAGGGAGCGAGGGCGACCAACTGCGGCTTCCGTCTTCGAAGTTGCTGGGCTTTCAGGGCATTCGAGGCGACCAACAGCTACCTGGACCCCGCCTTTTTTATGGTTACTTATTATGATTTCTTCATATAAGTCCTTGAAAAGGTACGTTTTTAGGGGTTAAGGTAGCAATACAAGCATTCTGAACCCCGCAGATTTGCGTACATGAACCCCTTAACAAGACTGCTAAAATCCTAAACCCTCACTCCCCCATCGGTGGTATTTGGGCAGCAGAAGCATCCGAGTCACGAAGTAGCGCGTGTGCTCATCTCGAGAATCGAGTTGAAGCAACATCCTTTGATGTAGGTAGGGCCTTTAGGGTTCCTGTCAAAGTACTACAAGTTTAGGGTTTAGAGTTTGGGTTCAGGGTTTAGGATTTGGGTTTAGGGTTTAGGGTTTCGGGTTGTTTTCTATTAGGGATCTGTAAGGTAGTAGGTAAGGTAGCGCCTCACGGTGTGGGTTCCTGTGCGTGTTGCTTCAGGTTTCCTTTCAGGGTTTCTGTTAAGGGTTCCTAGTATATGTGTTGAGAGTTGAAAGTTTTAAGCTTTAGGGTTTGAGGGTTTAGGGCTGTAGGGTTGGGAAATGTAAAGGTTGCGGCTTAGAGTATGGGAGCTTGATTCGGGGACCCTGAATGGTCCACGTCGTAGCCTCAAGGGACTTCAAGGGCGAAAATCGGCCTGGGTTGGACCGTCTTGAGGTATCGGGCTAAAGCACTACAGTAGGGCGTTGGGGCTTGGTCCTTCTGTTGAGACCGATCTCAGAACCCTGGGACATAGATCCCCCTCCACTCCTAAATCTCCCAAAGCCCGGCTTCCCAACTATCGGCAGCCCACAGAGTTTAATGTAGGGGCCTTAATAATTTGAATGAGGTTTTGGGGCCCATTATACTATAAATGTAATAAGGAACCTCCAAAATAGTATTGGTAATTATTTAGGCCCCTACATTGGCAACATGCTGATACAGGAAAGGTGCAAGCCGGTGCCTGCATGGCACAGTTTGCGGGCCTGAGCAGGCGGATCAGAGCGGAAGGTTGGGTGACCAACGGTGGCCATAAGCATTGTCATGATGATGATGGTGATGGTCATGGTGATGATGATGGTAATGGTCAAGATGATGATCACCATTACATCAGTACCACCATGCTCTGCCGATCTGCACCCATGCGTACGTGTATGTATATGACTACCCATGTCTTCATATCTACAGTTGCGCATGGCTTTATATCTGTAATTATCGATATGAAGCGCTATTGCAGTACACTGCTCGATGTTGTGACGACCAATAAAAACATACTATGCATCACGGTACAACATGAATACTTCAATACATTAACTACGCTGCTGAACAAAACTAGACGATGTTATGGTATGTTGCCGTGCGCTCTGCTATGTTAACTTATGCTGCGTTGTCACGGCATGTCATGGCAGGCTATCGGGCGGCTATCTCATTTACTATGATATATACGACGTGACGGTGCCGAAGGTGGTGTCCCTGATGATGAGCTCAATGCGGGTTTTCAAAGGGAGCAGAATAGTCCGTCTAGGTCTCGAAACCCTAAACCCTTTTTGCAACAGGCAACCCTAAACCCCAAACTTTAATCTGTAAGCCCTAACCCCTAAACCCTAAACTCCAACTTTCTTCCAATTGTCTAATCCTCAGGGCTCAAAAAGCAGAAAGCAGACCTGGGAGCCTCGAAAGACAAAAGCTCTTGAAGGGTTTACGGTTTAGGGGTTGAGGGCTTTGGGGTTTAGGGTTTAGGGGTCTAGGGTTTAGGAGTTGTTTTTCCCCTCTCGCATGGCTGAGATCTATGCCCACAAGCGAGGTTTGCATGGTTGAACAGACTACGCAGAGCTCGCAAAGCAAAATCCCTTCTCGACACCTAGGTTTAGGAGTTTAGGGTTTAGGGGTTTAGGGTTTGGGGTCTAGGGGCACCCTTGCTCAAATTGGGTAGGCTTCCATGACACACTGGTGAGTGGGTCGTCATATTCATCGTGGGGTAGGCTTCCAGGCTTTCTGAAGACTTGTGTTCATGAGGAACGACCCGCCTCAAAACCTTACAGAATCTAAGACCCCTATAGGAGTCCTCAAAGGAACTCGCTTTGAGAAAGCCAGGTGGCCTGGAAGTTCGAGAGGCACCTGGTGCCTCGGGATATCAGCCGCTCATGCATCGAAAGGCGGAAACGGGTTAGGGTTTAGGGTTTTTTTCCCTCTCGCATGAATGAGGTCTATACTCACGGCGAGGTTGAACATGAGGCTTGAAAGTTGAAGGATTGAAAGTTGAAGGATTGAAAGATACAGGATCTCCCATGTTTCAGGAATTCCCAGCTCCATCAGTTCGATAGAGCACCACTTGCTAGCCAGCAAAATGCCGTCTAATTCACTCAGATCTTCAGTTCAAAAGTCACTGCAAAGCTCCATCCTGTCACTCTTCTTCGTCTCATCTTCCTCTGTGATTTCGTCCTCACGCCTTTTTTCTACCTTCTGTGTGTCCAGGCAAACTCCACTTAGTTTCCAACCTTGCAAGCTTTTCAGGTTTCCATACCATGAGTCTGTCGGTACATCCCGATATGCCGACATCACAACCAGAAAAATCCTGCAACACCGGAAACCACGATCATCGTCTTTTGATCTGCAGAGCCAGCACATTTCCCTTCCTCGGCATGTTCCGATTTGGTCATCAGCCAAAGCCAAGTTCCGGGCATGGTCCCACACAAAAGCCAGAATGATGTCAGTGTCAAACTGCGCACTGATATTGCTGAACACTGAGGACCGCCAGCGAAGTACCACACAGTTTGGTCCATGTTGTAACAAACAGTCCACTGCACAGAACCACACAGTTTGGTCCATGTTGTAACAATCAGTCCACTGCACAGACCAGCTCTGTCAGAGAAAAACAGCTTCCCCGCATCTCTCCAAACATTCGTGAGTGTTGGCAGCTAAAAGACTTGGCAGCATCTCTGAAGTCCAGCAACCAGTTGAACAAAGTCCATGGCACATCAGCGCGGGCGAGGTATCACCAAGTAAAGAAGCTTACACTGAAGGGACCCAAAACCAGAACCAGAACCATAAAGAGCTGACCACTGAGAACAAGAAAGGGAGGAACCCAAAGTAGTAAAGCATATAGATGCACCTATAAAGGTTTTTTCTTGGGGTTGTAAGCTAATAGTATTCAACCAACCCAGCCAGCAGTGGTCGGACGGTGTGTATGGTAGCATGTTTGAAGCAGTTGTTTCAAGTGGAGCAGCAACGGGCACCTATTTGTTTGTTTTTTGGGTAAATGTGGTCCCTTAACGTTACTGCAAATCGAAAGGACAAAGCAGATACCTGGGCAGCAGCAATTGGCAGGGATACACCCTAATTACGAAGTTCATTGCAAGCACTAAATTCCATGCACCATGCGGATTCCTAATTAAATACAAAAACGATTCATGCCTGGCAGCGGCAGATTGGCACGTGAATTTGGGCTTTGAATTTACGGTATCTGATTTGCCTAACTGCACTCCGAGGCTACTCCGAAAAAGTCCGAAATCCGACTTTGAAGTGCTTGATCTCTACCAGTATGCACTGCGCTCAAGGTCCGAAATGCAACATAAACCACTCTCCTAGCTTCTTTCCAAGGCTGTGTCGAATGCAGAACGGTCCCTGCTCTGAAGGTAAAAGGACTGGAAATGTCATGGAACCTCCCAGGGACCAAAACCCCATCAAACTCTTGAAAAGCATCCCCTGCCGAATCAGCCAACCAAATGCCCCCTCCCCCTTCATGGGAAGTCAGCGATATGATAAGACTGCGGCCCACATTCCTGATATCTCTGTGAGGCTGTGTAGTACAATTTTCCGTCAGGGTTTAGGGTTTAGGGCTCTTTCGAACGGTTTAGTCTAAGGTTAGAGGGGTATAGGAGATTAGGATTCGGGCTTAAGGGATTTAAGACTTCGACACCTCATCCTGGATAGTTGAGGCGGGCACCTGGACACAAGTCCCCTATTCGGCCCTCAGGCCCCAAGAGCCCGACTACGAACGAGGCGCACCTTATTGCTCTAATGCTACGTACGGTTTTCGGATCTGAGGTTTGGCTGTAAGATCATCCAGAAAGGAAAGACTCGACAGATTCCGCGGAGGAAGAGACAAGACACACAGTAAACCATAGGTGTGATTTCATTTTTTTTGTCCTTTCCGACAAAATCCACCGAACCTTGAAAGCCTCAGTTCCCCCGGCCCTAAACTCCCAGGATTTTTACAGGCCCCAAAGCCTAGACCCTAAACCCTAAACCCTAAACTAGCCCCTAGAAAGAAGACCACGGTCAAGGCACCTTTCTCCAAGAAGGCCAGCAAGCCGCATTCGAAGGCCGCGCAAAGGACCAGAAGTCGGAGCTCCATCCTCGAGGAGGTGTGCGGTTTAGGGCCGTGGGGGGTTTACGGTTTAGGGTTCAGGACTCTACGTTTAGGGCTTAGGGTCTGGGGTCTAGGGCTTAAAGCCTAAACCCTAAACCAATAGCCGATAGGATTACATCATACTTTTGTGTTTAGACGGTCAACTGGAGGTTGAGTGCGAAATTCGAGGCGTAGATGGTTCCTAAACCCTTTTGACACCTGGACTATGTTAGGAACCCTAAAACCCTGAACCCTAAACTCCTAAACCCCTGAACCCTAAACCCCCAAAACCCTAAACCCCTAAACCCCTCTAAACCCCTGAAGCCTAAACCCCAAAACCCCTAAACCCCTTTTGAACGAGGTCTCTCTGAAGTGCCTGAACCCTAAACCTGGTTCGTGACAGTCATTGGAAGCTTGGGGCCCTGGGGGTTCTGAGATGAGGGCTTTGGCTTCGAAGTGTCCAAGCCTGCCGCCATAACGGTCCTCTAACAGAAAAAATAATAACAATAATAATAACAACAACGGTAATGATAATAATAATAATAATACGAAGAATAATAATAATTTCAATAATAATAAGAAATAATAATAACAATAACAATTATAATCTGTGGTCCGCTTTGGGGGTTCAGGGGCTCTCTTGCTGCGTGAATGGGTTTAGAATATTCTGACATGGCCTGTTTGTTCTGGATGCTCATGTGGCTACTAGTATGGATTGCTCTGCTTACTATCGTGCACGGCTCTTCTCCTCGCTCTCTTTCCCCTGCTGTCAGTATGCGAAACTCGCACAGCTCGACAATTTTAACGTGTTTTTACAATTTTACGAATACACATCTGCATTCTTGGTGTTAAGGACGCTACTACACGCCTTTGTATGATACCATGGGTTGCGTTGTTCTCTCAAGCCCTCTATGTGAATGGATTGGAATTGGGCTGGGTTCGTCGACCGCACTGATGCAATCCTTCTCTGCCTTATGCGGCACGCACGAAGGGTTGGAAACATCTTAAGCTCTACAGAACGGATACCAGAAACAAATGGGAGCCTCGACGATGGCTCAAATGTGCTATTAGGCTATGCTCTTCCAATCAGATCTCCGACCAAATACACCGCATTTGGTTCAGGAAGTCTCTTCACTTCTCATCCAAACTCCTTGTACAGAACTCTCAATGCACTCACCAGGCTAGCAGTCAGGCGCATGATCCCAAACTGTCTCAGAGAACGAAGGAAACGATCTGTGTAGATGCCATCAGCTTTCATGCTTGCATCCCATATGTCCGAACCCCGATTGAAACTTCTGAAACATGGGTGGCAAACTATTTGGAACAAAAGCGCGTGATATTGAAGGGCATGGCTTCAATGCCATGTCAAACGAAACAACATCTCCAACCATAGGCTGCAATATCTCAGCTAGAACATACCTTCCCACGTGCATACCGGCATACCAAATCGCAGCCAAACAGCTCTGATGGGCACTGGACGTGCCAAGTCCCGCGGGGGTGGACTCTCAACTGACTTCTCCCCACGCCAAGCTTTGAGCACAAATGTGAGTTTCATCGAACGCGGCAGCAGCTAGTGCCTCATGAGTGATGCATCCCGCTTCCACAACTCCGTAGTGTCCCATCTCTGTTGGTGGGGATTGCCATGCTAGCTTCTGGAGGATTAGAGCCGAAGAGGTTTCCTCACTGCCAAACGTTCCCCCTCTCTGTAGGGTCAACCTGGACACCAAAGAACCTACCTTTTTGGGGTTCCTTATTCTGATTTCTTTTAAGTCCTTAAAAAAGTAGGTTATTTGGGGTTAAGGAACAGTTTACTCTTGGTGGCCGCAGTGGAAGTCTTGGTACGATCCGGCTTTAAGGTCAAAGCACGGTCTTGTGTTGCTATGCAAATCCGACTAAGCCCCAGACCCTCAGCATTCCGTGTGCCAACACTTTCAGGCTGCACATGCTGCAAACTCCTGCGTTACCCGGTCCAGTGCTGCAGCTCATGAAAACGACAGTATGCTGCGATGCTGCGAACAATGCAACATGCGCATCGCCCAGTTGCATGCTTTGTCGAGTTGGAAGTAGAACCAACCGTGAATCACTGCGTGTCACACATCCTCCTGGCAGGCAAAAACCAGTTCTAAAGCGATGCATTGATAAGAAAGCATTGACCAGAATGTCGGATGCATGCCAAGAAATTCAGGCAGGCATCTGGGCACTGCGCCCACACACACACAAACACACACACACACACACACACACTCACACACACACACACGCACACACACACACACACAATACATGCGCACTGGCACCATCCAGGGATTGGCAGAATGCAGAGAATGTTGCAGCGGCAAGTCGTGTGAATATGAAGGAGCATATGTGGCGAGACATCTGTCTGCTCTTGACTCTTGTGTGTAAGACTCCCACTGCTAAAGATGGCTGGTGAAAGTCTGATGGCCACGTCATGTGATACGAAACTCAGCTTGAAGGTTGAGGCCCAGAGTCCTAAGCCCTACACCCTACATCCTGAGTCCTATATAAGCCTTTCCCCTGAGCCCGAAGTCCTACTTGGAGGTTCATGGGTAGTTATAAGTGGGGTTACAAGTCCCTTAATATGGATTATAATTATAGTTAGCCTACTTATAACTTATAACTCCACTTACAACTATACCCATGAACCTCCAAGTAACCCCGAAACCCCCAGCCCTGAAGCCCCCTGAACCCAAAAGCCCCCCTATGACACCCTTACAGATCCCGTATAGGAACCCCTTACAGCTCCTGAAAAGGAA